CCGAAGTCCCATGATGACCCTTGGTGAGAACGTAGAACGGATTGAGGTGAGCAAGAAAGTCCTGTGCCGTTTTGCGATATTCGCAATAGTTTTTGAGAAATTAATTATTTTGTCTCAACAAATCAGCGTACAGAAAGCGGCAGCGGAAAGAAAGATGCCTTCGGCCGACGTGCGACCGTGACACTCGCGAATCGTATCTCGCCGCATCCCTCCGCCCATAGCTACGAGACATAGCGAGTCTATGTCTCGTAGCTATGGGCGGAGGGATGCGGCGAGATACGATTCGCGAGTGTCGCGGTCGCACGTCGGCCGAAGGCATCTTTCTTTCCGCTGCCGCTTTCTGTACGCTGATTTGTTGAGACAAAATAATTAATTTCTCAAAAACTATTGCGAATATCGCAAAACGGCACAGGACTTTCTTGCTCACCTCAATCCGTTCTACGTTCTCACCAAGGGTCATCATGGGACTTCGGGACATCCTGTATATATATATATATATACACATATATATACAGGGTTGGTATAAAAAGTCCGGAAACGGTCAAATATCTCGAAAAGGATCAACTGTAGCGAAAAATATGTAAGTAGCAAAGTTGTAGGGCTTAATAAAGTGTACCTAATGATGGCTAAAAATTTGACTTTGGGTGGAGGGCGAAGGTCATACAAAGATCAAATTGAATTTTTTAAATTGGACCCCCCACTTTTTATTACATATTCTTATAGCTTATTTTTTAGGGCTTTCCAAAAACCTATAATAAAGTATTTTTTTATTAGACATATTTAGAGTTATGAGGCTTGAAAGGATTTTGGTTTTTAACTGTTTCTGTTTTGTAAAAACGTATCACTGTCTTCTGAACGGTGGATTTAGAAATAAAATTGCGATCAGGATACGCAGCATTGAATGTGTAGATCAGTTACTTCTTCGTATCTAATATGGTCTCCTAATTTTCGATAAAGAAACAGATTATCTTTTCTTTATCGGTTAACATTTAAAAAAGAAATTTAAAATTGTAGTTGGAAAAAGAAAGGGAAAAGACAAAGAGTAAGATGCGAGAGAGCACGACTCGTTTTTAAAATACAAAGAGAAGCGTTATCGTGAAGCACGGGTATGCGCGAGTTTTGACTAAGTACGTGTGATATTACGTCGTGAATGAATAACCACATTCGATGCGAGCAAATGAACAACTAGGCTGGGAGCTTAAAAAACATAAACACAGAAGAAAAACAAGAAGAAACTTTGTTTTTCATGTCTCCAGCTAGACGATATGACCGGCTTAGTTGTTCATTCGCTCTCATCGAACGCGGTTATTCATTCACGACGTAATATCACACGTACTCAGTCGAAACTCGCGTATACACGCGCTTCACGATAACGCTTCTCTTTGTATTTTAAAAACGAGTTGTGCTCTCTCGCATCCTACTCTTTGTCTTTTCCCTTTCTTTTTCCAACTACAATTTTAAATTTCTTTTTTAAAAATGTTAACCAATAAAGAAAAGATAATGCTGTTTCTTTATCGAAAATTTGGAGACCATATTAAATCATACGAAGAAGTAACTGATTTACACATTTAACGCTGCATATCCTGATCACAATTTTATTTCTAAATCCACCGTTCAGAAGACAGTGATACGTTTTTACAAAACAGAAACAGTTAAAGACCAAAATCCTTTCAAGCCTCATAACTCTAAATATGCCTAATAAAAAAAATACTTTATTATAGGTTTTTGGAAAGCCCTTGAAATAAGCTACAAGAATATGTAATAAAAAGTGGGGGATCCAATTTAAAAAATTCAATTTGACCTTCGTATGACCTTCGTCCTCCATCCAAAGTCAAATTTTTAGCCATCATTAGGTACATTTTATTAAGCCCTACAATTTTGCTAGTACATATTTTTCGCTACAGTTGATTCTTTTCGAGATATTTGACCGTTTCCGGATTTTTTGCCAATCCTGTATATATATATATATATATATATATATATATATATATATTTACACACACACGAACTTACGTACACACGCACGCACGCACCACACACGCACAGGATATCCCAAAACTAATAGAACATCCGTTGAGGATAGGCAGGAAGTGCAATTTGGAACTGAAAGTTTCTCCATTTTTGATCTGACAATTAGTTAATGAGATATTAATATTAATTAATTAAATCTACCAATCCCTTAGCACCCCGAGTGAGCGCTCAGGGACGTAGAACGCAGTGGGCTTCTTAGGGCCTGCTTGTCCGTTTTTCTCCCTTTCTTGTACACATACACTAAAATCATCCACGGTACTCAATTACCGACATGCAGAAAACATTCAAGTAACCCACGCATTCGAAGGAAGCATACCACACATGCTCTCCCCCTCCGGCACATAAAGCGCAATCACTCCGCTCACTAAAAACATTTAAGTTATCCATGTACTCATAACCGCACACAAAAACATCCACACATCAGCCCCACACCATCCTCCGTGCCCCGGTCAGGCACCCACCTACATACCCACTCACTCATCTATATTTATTCCCCTGTGATACAAAAAAAGAGGAAAAAACAGACAAGCAGGGTCCCTGAGGAGGCCTAGATCATTTTACGGCGTCTTGCGGCCCTCAGCGCTCACTCAGGCCGCTAAGGGATTGACAGACATAATTAATTAATGTCTCATTAACTAATTGTCAGATCCAAAAATGGAAGAGGAACTTTCAGTTCCAAATTTCACCCCCTACTTACCCCTAACGGATGTTCTACCAGTTTTGGGGCACCCTGTATATATAATGCAATTCAATAAAAATTTAAATAAGAAAACAATGTTAAAGAACCGGAACCGAGAAAAAACCATAATTTAAACGGTACTCGTATTTATTATCCAGAAAACCGGAACCGAAACTGGAACTTTATTAAATATTTTAGTGGATCGGAATTGGAACCGGACCGATATTTTCATTCGGTCCGGGCCCCTGCTAGTAACTCACGAAGCAGCTGCGGTATACATGTAGATTAGATCAAACAAAATAAAAAATTGCTCTACCATTTTGCAAACAACTATGTAAAATTTTGGGTTAATTAATTATAACAGATTCGTGGATGATCACGCATCATACGATAAATAAGCTGTGATGACGATGATTGCTACTATATTGTAAATAGATCAAATTAAATAAAAAAGTCGTCTATTATTTTTCAAATGACCACATACATGTTTAATTATTAATTAAAGAAGATTAATGTACAGTTTTGCATACCTGATATATTTTTATAGCAGCTACAAATAATAAACACGTATTTTTTTATTATTGTTAAGACGTAAATTTAAGAGAGGCAACACCTTTTTTAAGTAAAAAAAGATTTTTATTGCATAATCTGAAAGTATGTACTTTTAAGTATATATCCTTAAATATTTATAAAAAAATATTAGAGAAATATTAGAGAAAATAAAGCTGATTATTTGAGATGTTGGTGCGCGAGTCGAAGACAAGTTTCGAAAATCAAATAATCGAAATAACGCTTTGCTTGCCTGATATGCCGTAGGTTTAAAAAAAATATAAAAACATACTCTGAGAATATAAGAAATCCTATTTCTGATGTACTCTAAATATTTATGTACGTTATTCTATGAAGTATTTAAATTTAAATATCCGACCGGTTATACTAATGTAAGACTCACTAAGCTAAATAGATTAATCATTATTATTTTATAAACTACCACATATAGATATTAACGAAAAAATCAACCAATACACATAATACGATAGAACAAGCTCTATAGTTCGAGCAGCATATTTTCACCTAGTTGATTATTATCTAACGACGGTTTTCAAGAGATTAGACCTACTGTAAGGAATAAAAAGAAAGCTAAAAATAAATGTAATCCCTACTGAAAAATTTAAGCTGAGATCTTAATTAAGTAATCTCATGTAAGGTCGCAACTGAGAATTCGTATGAGATTTCCGCAAAATTTCGCATGTAAGATCTCAATTGAGATACTTATATCTGACGGAAATAATTTATTGAAAATATCCCAATCGGAAGCAAATATTTTTTAAACGTTTTTAAAATGTTTTTCTTTCATTTATTACTCATTTTCTCAACTCATTATCAAAAAAAATATTTATATATTGGGAGTACAAATAAGTCTCCGCCATTTGACAAAAGATGGCCCCATCAGTAAGTTATGGTTGAAATTGTCAGATGTAAAACGTCATATTGTAAGGTTGGACATCTGGCAATACCATAACCTTGAAATATTAGCGATTTTGTATCAGCATCACATAATTCTTCTCGTGCGAAAATGTCGAGTTTTGAACCGAATAAGCGTCATTTGCGGGAACTTTTGATGTACTTCTTTAATTTGAAGAAATCTTCAGCTGAGGCGCATCGATTGCTTGTAGAAGCATGTGGTGAGGCTGCTTTAAGTGAGAGAAGTTGTCGTAAGTTTCAAAAGTTTAAGAACGGTGAGTTTGACGTCGCAGACAAAGAACGTAGCGGAAGGCCGAAAGTGTACGAAGACGCGGAATTGGAAGCATTATCGGAGGAAGATTCGTGCCAAACGCAAGAAGAACTTGCACTTACATTAGGAGTGACTCAACAAGCAATTTCACATCGTTTAAAATCGTTGGGAATGATTCAAAAGCAAGGAAATTGGATTCCATATGAACTGAAGCCGATTTTGCACATGTGAAATGCTGCTTGCCAGGCATAAACGAAAGGTTTTTTGCATCGTATC